GAACAAGCGTCATTTCAGTAGAAAGATTTGACCGAGTTCTACAAACTTGCATTGAAACGAAGGATAACATTTTTCGGTAAAGATTTGAGTCTTGATAGGATAGATTTTATTCCATATATGGAAGAGTTATGATCAATTATTCTACTGTCACTCACTACAAGCACTATCTGACAGATAGATGGTTAGTTTAATTTGCTTTCCATCACTAATGTATTATTCCACTATGAATTTGAACAAGGTTATACCGGCAAGAAGTCAACAATCAGAAGTGAGAACGCATTATTAAAATATACAGTGCGTTCCATTTAAAACGAGCCACCCTGAATAACTTTTGCTAGAATGATTTTCAGAAAAAATAGAAACAACGTCAACGATAGTATACAGGGGGAAACATTTTGACATAATCACATTTGATGTTACTTCCCCTATCGCACCCCCAAAGCATGTTACCTTTTTTTTTAAAATGGATCACCCTATATTGTTTCGCATTATCAGATGCTCCATGATGGGCAGATTCCAACAAAGTATAAAACATATGGTTTGAAGTTTATGATATTTGTTCCAAAGAGAAATATGGAAGCAATAAAAGAGAAAGAGAGAAAGAGATTTTTTAGTAATTCTTGAATCAAAATCTGATGACTGGACAATGAAAAGAAAAAAATGTTCTACAGTAAATATTCACCACCAGTAAATTTCACCAACTTCCATAGAAACGAGCTTCCATTGCCGCCCTCAAATGGTTGAGAATTTCAGAAGTTTTTTCTCTGCAGTGCCTCATGATATTCTCTCAAACTATCCAATGTTGTTGAATTTGGACTTCGAATGACCCCGTAGAAAGAAATCTACAGAAGTGAGATCCGCATTGAAGCTGCATAATGAGGAGGTGCACCATCCTGCTGAAAAACGTTTTCGAATAAATTTGTATCCTCCTCAATTGCTCTATTGATGCACGGTGTTATTCGATTCTCCAACATATCCAAATATTTATTACTAGTCAAATTATCATCGATAAAAAAAGGCCCTATGATGTGGTCACCTAAACACCTGTTTGAGGTCGTTGGGTATGAACTTGACGGTATAAATGAAGATTCGTATGAGGATACGTCTATCGAAATCATCTTCGTTTGATTCATGAACTGGTCTGATCTTATATGGATAAAATTTGTACTTATGGAGGATCCTGAAAACATTTGTACCACTGATTCCTGATTCTCGAAATAACTTAGTATGAGATTGCGAATTTTCCATTAGTCCAACGTGCCCTAAAACTGCAGTACAAATAGCTTCATCGTTGACAACTCCTGAATAATTATGCTTTTTATTGTTAACAGATCCAGTTTCCATGAATTTGTCCAATAATTCCGAAACGCATTTGTGTCGTACATTTCTTCCTGGATGATTGTCATTGAACATACGAGCAGCAGTTCTAGCACTATTTCCATTCTGGTAGTACAAACTCACTATTCCAATCCGTTCTCGAAGTGTTTCGAAGAATTCACAAAAACAGAAACACCAATTATAACTTCACCTGGTAGGTAATCGTTATTGTAGAATGAGATAAATACAAAATGAAGAAAATATCGATTTTTTTAAGTATACTTCACAAAACTATCTATGAAACTTAAGTAACAGATTGTACAGAAGTTCATTCAGGGTGGCTCGTTTTCAACTCAAATAATTTTAAGCTTCCAAACTATGAGCTTCAGACCATAATGTGTTCTACTTTGTTGGAATCTGTTCATTATGGAACATCTGATAATGCACATGACAATTGATCCTTTAAAAAAAATTGATGACATGCTCTGGGGGTGCGATGGGAAAACTTAGATCAAATGTAAATATGTCAAAATGTGTCCAATTGTATACTATTGTAAATCATTGTTCCCAAAGTTATTCAGAGTGGCTCGTTTTGAACTCAAATAATTTGTAGCTCCCGAATCATAAGCTTCAGACTATATATTTTATACTTTGTTGAAATGTACTCATCCTGGAGCATTCAGGGTGGCTCGTTTTGAATGGAATGCACTGTATCGTTTTTTTTCAATCATACTTTCTCATGAATGGCATGTGACTGAGACTTTCAGTGTCAGTTTTTAACAGTTGGGCTATTGAGTTCTCTGGCTAACACAGAAAAAAATTATCAAATTTTATTTTATTACTGCGATTATAGGGGTTATACAATTTTGTGATGAAATTTTCTAGTACGATTTGTCTTTACCCTCAAAATAGGCATCTGTTTCGATGACGACCTTTTCATCGTTGCTGAATCTATTCCCAGCGAGCATTCTTTCGAAGTCTGAGAACAGCAATAAGTCTCTGGGGGTCAGATTTCAGGGTGACTCGTTTTGAACTCAAATAATTTGTAGCTCCCGAATCATAAGCTTCAGACTATATATTTTATACTTTGTTGAAATGTACTCATCCTGGAGCATCTGATAATGCGTAACAATATAACGTGATCTATTTAAAAAAAATTGGTGACATGCTTTGGGGATGCGATAGGGGAAGTAACATCAAATGTGAATATTGAATATGTCAAAATGTGTTCCCCTGTATACTATTATTGATGTCTTTTTTAATTTTTCCTGCGAATCATTGTTTGAAAAGTTATTCAGGGTGGCTCGTTTTGAATGGAATGCACTGTATCGTTTTTGTTCAATAGAAATCATACTTTCTCATGAATGGCATGTGACTGAGACTTTCAGTGTCAGTTTTTAACAGTTGGGCTGATAAGTTCTCAGGCTAAAACAGAAAAAAAATTATCAAATTTGATTTTATTACTGCGATTATAGGGGTTATACAATTTTGTGATGAAATTTTTTAGTACGATTTGTCTTTAGCCTCAAAATAGGCCTCTGTTTCGATGACGACCTTTTCATCGTTGCTGAATTTATTCCCAGCGAGCATTCTTTCGAAGTCTGAGAACAGCAATAAGTCTCTGGGGGTCAGATCTGGAAAATACAGTGGATGCGGAACCAATTCGAAACGCAAATCATGAAATTTTGCTATTGTTCTTATTGATTCGTGACACGGTATATTCTCTTGATGGAACAAACTTCCTTTTTCTTCAAAAGGAAGCCGTTTTTCCGAGATTTTGCACTACGTACAGTCCACTCAGCTGACATTCGTTTTGATAATGATGTGAAATGATGGAGTCATGTTTCAACCACTGTCACATATCCATGCATAAATTTGGGATTTTTTTAGTGGAACAGCTCCAAACACTACTCAGAAACATCAATTCGGTATTGTCTTTGGTCAATTGTTAGCCAGCACGGCACACACTTTGAACAGAGCTCTCGCATACCCAAATATTCATGCACAAAATGTCCAACATATTCCTTTGATATCTTTAGAGCCTCAGCTATCTCATTTAACTTCACTTCGTGGTGGCCCAAATTTATTTTCGCCAAAAAGCAATGTTTTGTTAACACACGAAATTCTTTCTCAACAATTTTCTTCATACTAACAAAAGTTGCTTCACTCAAAATGTTTTGTTCCACAGACTAATAGCACGACAACCCTGAAATGTGTACACGTGTTTGAAGGTTAGGATTTCCAAAAAAACATATTGATTCAATAGTAGTAGCGGCACCTGTGTGTTAGCCTATGAACTTTTCAGCCTGCCTAGTATGTTTTGAATTATTTGGAAATAATCCCATTCTTTGTAAACTGGTATTTGACTGAGAATACGAATCACTCAGTTATTATGTAACGTCATTTTCCATCCACTGCCATTTTGTCAGCAGCTGAAACCTAATAGTCGTGTTATTAAAACAAACTAGTCTAAATTTCCCTACAATATTCTTCTTCGGCTCCACTTCCGCAAAATTTTCATATTCACTGCAAAACGTGCCAATGAAATGAAATATTCAGCCACGTCGCAGCAATGTGCAGACAGAAAATTACACGAGATATCCCGAAACCGTGTGGTACGTATTTAAAATTTCATTACCCAAGCTCAAAATGGACGTTTCATATTTTTATGAATAAATTTGAATGAATCATGAGTGTAGAGTGAAATTATTCATCAACTTTCTGAAGGATTATTTATGTATTGATTACCAAATGAACTCATCCCTGATCGTTTTTCAATAGTTGTTACCGTTCGAAATATTTGAATATATGTGACCTTACGACCATGTGGCAATAAGTACTAATGCACTATGCCATGGTAATCAAAGAAAACAGTGGAAAAAACTACGACATTTGATCGAACTTGGCGTGCTTTTTTTATTTTGGATTTTCTGGGCAATTATGACTCTCTCAAACAAATCTGGATCGCCTTTGATGTTATTGAACAATTCCTGAGCGTTGCTCATGCGACGGTTTTTTATCAAAATTCAGCAATTTTGGAACGATCTTTGGCATCTTATTTTTTCAACAGTCCAAGTATGTATGGAATCACACGTTAGGACTTACACGTTAAAAAGATAGAACCTCGTTAATCCTTAGCTCGCACAAGTTTCGACTTCTGAGGGTTGTCGTTCGTAGAGGTGCGATAGCTGGTTAATGGAAAAACAGATCTCAACAGATCCAAAACGTGAATTTTGAGTCAAACCCGAAATAGACTGAAACTGGTGTAAATCTGAAAGTTCTGATGTATATGCTGCTAAACACAAAGAGTGTTCAATATTCTTAGTTCGTTGTACACAATTGAGGCTTCTAGTACTCGGTTTCAACTGATTTCACAGAAATGAGATTGCGTCGCTCATAATTCATACAAATTAGCCGACATTCAAAATATAGTCAAATCTCATGGAATATTCAATTGTTTCAGTGAACTAGAGCCATTTCAATATTGAAGCTCACCTGTTTCCAACAGATGCAACCTCAATAGTATTGCATCGCAGCTCATAACACGTGAAAATTTGCCAACGAGCGNATAATGTATGTTTATCTAAGTATCTTATTATATCAAATTGAAAATGAAATTGAATTATTCTGTTATGTTTGTATTATTCATTCATTTTGTATCTTGAATTTTTCTTTTTTTTCAGTATCAACGACAACAACGGATGATAAGAAGCCAGGAAGTACCTCCGAATTAGTAAAGGTGTCAACTAAACGCTCAAGACCCAAACCAACTTCACCAAATAGACAAGGTCCTCAGCAATGCCAGGTGGGAGAATTGAATTTGTTAATAAATATTGGATGAGTGATGTAATTTTCAAAAAAATATTCAATCCTTGCACAAAGCATTTTACAAAAAGAATAGATAATTAAAAAGAACCAAGCTTTGTGGATTCAATTCAGCTAAATTATTCTGTGAATAGTTGTACAACTTGCATTAAACTCATTTGCTTTGTCTATGTAATGAAGTAGAACAGAATATACGAGTATACTAGAATTGAAATGTCAAATAAAATATTTGCTCCGAACAAAGAACGCTTTGTGCCCCTTCTGTTTTGTTCATGAACTGGCTTGAATTAGTTTGAGCGTTCATTTCGTTTCATTTCATAATACAAATTGTGTCTGTATTTTCATTATATTCGAAATTATTCCCGTATGTTTTATGATTTTTTTTCATTATGGAAATTGGATTTACAAATGAAGAATAAGCTTATTATTAAAAGGACTATTTAATGAAGTACAAAAGGCTTTTGCATTGTCGAATTAAAAATATAGGAGTTAGGACCACAACAAATCATTCAAATGAACATCAGACAAACAGACAGGTATGAATTGAGTCAATGTACTAACAATTATAGTCTATTTCAAAAGAGTGTAGAGTAATAAAATCTCATTAAGTATTCAAAAGCGCTACAGGGTGATCCGTCAATAAATTCTGTCACTTCCCTAGTCCGCATTGCAAAATTATGTCGTTTCATAAAGAGCAGGTAGGTATCACCCTGTTTTAAGGGATTTGTCCATTGTTATCGACGGATAAATACTGAGCCAGAGGCGCGCTAGTGGGATAATTGCCAAAAGAATATGCATTCATAAAAATTATATTAAAGGAAATAAAAATTTAATACAGCAGAACAGTGTTATTAAAAAAATATAAAATGTAACAATAAAATATATACGAACCGAAATCGGGAAATACTCACAAACACACACGAACGAACTTTACGTATTGAAACACTTGTGGGGACTTTAAATCAATTTATTCACAAAAACGACAAGAANTTTTTAAGAAATTTTACTTACCTAAATACATGTAGGTACTTAGTTTTAGACCAAATTACTTCCCAAAAATGGCCTTTTATTATTATCTATGTCTGTAATTTTTAATTTACTTTAATTATTAAGTTTAATAATCCTAAGATTTGCCTACGCCCATGGACGACAACGAAATTCAGGCAAATTTTATGACACTTCATGATTTATTACTCTACACTCTTTTGAAATAGACTATAGTAATTACTTTCCCTAAGGATATTTTCAATATATTGAGCTATGTTTTGGCGTTTACTTCAGTTTGAAACAAGTGACCAATAATTAAACAATAATTGTATTAGGACCTCCACATCAGTTGTCAGACCTCAAGTCAGTGAATAGATAACAATAGACAGTGTTGCACACTTGAGATGAAGACGCCCCTATATTTCAGTCATTTTTCATTTTTGGTACAGGCGTAGACCTTCATGGGCCGCACTTTTTGTTATATTTAGCCTGAGTGACAACCTCAAACCCAGCCTACTGTTTCGCGTTAGAGATAACAAAATAAGTTATTTGAAAAAGTTGCCTACATACCTACCGAGTTCCAACCCAAAATGAAAATTTTGAATTTTTTCGTAATTTTTCTGTTCAAGCCCAATATTCGGGCTTGAAGCTACAGAAATGATGAAATAGTCAAAATCAATGAGATAAATGTATTCATCTATACAACAACTCATTCTTCTCTGTTTATCCATACTGATAAGTCCTAGACAGCTAAAATTTGGTATTCGGATGCTTCTCAGATTTAAGATGCACTTTGAGGAAGGATTTTGAAATATTCTAACCAGGGCGCCCCCCGTGGAAGTAAAAGAGACACATTTACATATGAAAATCATCTTTTTAACACTGTTTTTCCGTACCGCTTTATTTTCTAAGGCTGAATTTTGTATGAAGGATTGTTTTATGTTGTAAATGTGCAATAAGATTTTTTTTAATATTTCAACTGGGTAGCCTTCGTACCGCTTTATTTTCGGAGGCTGAAATTGTGTATGTGTAGATGTTGTAAGGGTCATGTTTACATATGGTAATTAGTTTTTATCACTGTTTCTTTGTACTGACATGTTTTCGGAGGCTGAAATTTTGTATTTAGGTTCGTATCATGTTCATATTCAATAAAGAAAGACTTTTGAATATTCTAACTGGGGCGCCAGCCCCAGTTAGAATACCATACCCTCATGGTATGGTATTTCTCCATACCCTCAAATTTCCGGTGGGTGAATTGATATTTAGTATCAGCATTGCACCCATGCAGATCCGAAATCACTTGGGCTAAGTATTGCTAAAAGTGAGGTTCATGAAGGTCTATGCCTGTACCAGAAATCAAATATCTGCTTTCAAAAATGACTTCATCTTAAGTATGACACACTGTATATGCAAAATCGCATATTGATGCTTCATTAATAATACACAACAAACAGTGCTATCCAAATTCGAATGTATACATGGAGATCCCGAAAAAACTGAGAGGCAAAGTGTTGGTTAAATTGTAGCAAAGTTACCTATTTGCGGATTATATTGAATGAAACCAAAAAGTAGACACTAGCGAAGATATTGTACCTCTTGTAATACAAAAAGCAATGTAATTATGTTCATTTTTGTTTGTCAGTTGAAAGTGAAAGTTTCAAAACATCCTACTTTATCTCGTCATAAAGTAGCGACTGTCGAAAACATAATATTCATCATTTTTCTGTAGTACAAGAGGTAGACATTTCAAGGATGAATGAAGTGAAATATGGCATTTGGAAAATCAATAAATATACGTAAATTTTGGACAAATGTCTATTCCTCAATTCCCATTTACCAACTGAGCAAACCCCTATATGTTTCACAACATCAATTTGATTTATCATATGTCTACAGATGACGGCATTGTGTCATCATATCAAATTTGAAGAAGATGGCTTTTATGGCGCCATTTTGAAAGGATATTTGGATCATTTGGTTTCTTCTGATTCGTTAAAACTTATTTTCACGAATAACGACATACCTATGATGCACTGTTTGAAACCTTTGGTGTAGTAATGAATATTACTGGAGGTGTTAAAATATTGACTTAGTGTTGGAAAAACTCCAGTGATATTTATATACAGTGCATTTCTTTATTGTCCCCACCTTTTATTTTTTGAACAGGTCAACTCAAAAAATTGAAATTTGGGATAATGAAATTAATATATGAATACTTCATTTTGAAGTTAAATTGACATATGAAACTTTCAAGATGGCGACTGGGTCTTGTCAACCCTAGAGGGATCTTCACAACCCTAAAATATGAAGTCAATATCTTCACCTACTACAAAATGGCGGAACATTCAATAATTTTCTGAAGAAAATCAGACTAATATCGATATTTCTAGAAATATTTTTTTATCTGTCCTATGGCAATCCCAAAAACCCGATAAAATTTGTTAAGTTATTTTTTGTTTATGAAAACGACAAAAAATGTCAATACGATAGTGAACATCATTGTTCCGAGACCGAACGGATTTTCAATGAATGTTATCCGAATCGTCCTATCTGTAGAAAATATTTGAGGGAACTTGTATCCAAATTCACATTTACCCGTAGTGTACATAACAAAAAGTCCCCAGGTCATCCGTCTATTCCGGAAGAACAGCAAGTGCAAATAATTGGTGAGATTGTAGTAAATCCTGAACAGTCTACTTATCCCTACAGTCTACTGTGTGGAGACTTTTGAAGAAGAATAGATAGCATCCATACAAAATTAAAATGGTACACCAGTTAACTGAAGATGACCCTGATCGAAGAACAAAATTCTGCAAAATCATGAGGGAAGCCATTGCACGGTATCTCCGCGATATCTTTTTTCAGTGACAAATATACCTTTTTTTTAACGGCAATATTCACAGACAAAATTTCCATTATTGGAGTGACACCAACCCTCACGTTTAGGCAGGAATATTGAGAAACCATATTGTAGGACCTCTATTTATTGATCAAAATTTAACAGGGGAACTGTATTTGAATATGCTGGAAACTACTGTTGACCCTCTCATCACTGAAATCGTCGAAGCGAATCCTAATGAATTCCATATGGATATTGTATTCCAACAAGATGGAGCACCACCACATCACTCCAGACAAATAAGAAACTATTTGGATTCTACTTTTCCTGGTCGTTGGATTGTCCGTCGAGGTCCCACAGAATGTCCAGCCCGCTCGCCAAATCTGACACCTTTGGACTTAATTTTATGGGACTATTTGAAGCAAAAGGTATACGAAACTGAACCTGCTTCAATATTGAATATTAATATTACAAAGAATAATATTTGTAAAGATATTGACGTCATTGTGTTCGAAAATGTTCGGCCTGAAGTGACCCTAAGCTCATTACCTCATATTATGTAGTTAAATGTCAATGTATTCAGGCAATTATTAAAGGTTCCGCCTTTATGTAGTAGTTGAAGATATCGACATTATATTCTAGGGTTGTGAAGCATTCTTCAGGGGCTTCAAAAAGATGTGTCATCTTGAAAGTTTCATTTATCAATTTCACTTCAAAATAAAGTATTTATATATTAATTTCATTATCACAATTTTTGAGATATTATTATATTTTTGGAAACGCATTTGTTAGCTTTCAGTGTTTTCCACAATTTTATTAGGTATATGAAATATGACTTGATAGAAATTACGATAAGTTTCCTTCTAGAAGCAAGTTTTTTCAAACCATCTTCCTACTATCAATAAATCGTTTTGTATAGCCTGGCAGCTATCCTAGTTTTGCAAAAATCAAATACCATAACATAAGTCAAAAATATTTTGTATCTTCAGAGAAACAGTATGAAAACGTCATTGAGACCAAAAAGTTTATGTTTCACCATCTTTTACTGTTTTTTGTTGTTCATCATACTTGAGTTGAACCACAGAAAGTTCAGGATTGCGTTTTATTGCATTTCGAACGTGATATCTGGTCGATCTATTTAGTGGGAAGAGATT